CGGGGCGGCGCGGGAAGGGGTGGGTGGCGGCGGCGGCGGCGGCGGCGGCGGCGGCGGCGGCGGCGGCGAGCTCCACTGCAAGTACGCAGGAGCTCGCCGGGCGGGACAGCAGCAGCAGCATGGCCACTACACACACACACACACACCGTCGCACGCCCACCACAGCACAGCAAAAAACAGAGGACAAGCAGCCGATGAACAGAGAGACGCTGTGTGCAAGAAAGAAAGCAGAAAAGCAGGCGTGCCTGCGGGAAGCAGTGGGGGATGCCGCCTGAGATGGGCTTGGCCTTGGGCTCCGGCCCCGCCAGCGCCTTGAGCGAGTCGGGACGCATGTACAGCACCTGCGGTACTGAAGGCGGTGCCGTGGGATACCGGCGGTACAGAAATACCATCCTGCCTCCCTTGCTGGTGCAGGCACTGGTGTGGATGCGGCCAGGCCGGTCCCAGCCAGCTGGCGAGGGCGGCGCCGCGGCAGCGGCGGGCGGCACGGGGCGCGGGCAGCTGCGCACCTCGTCGCCGCTGGCCTGCTTCCACGAAGTGATGCATCCGCCATACAGCGCCACCTCAGCGCTCGCCCCGCACGCATGCTTGAGCACCACCGTGGGCAGGCCCCCCAGCCCCGCCACCACCTCCACGCGCCCCGGGATGCCAAACTGCTGGTTCAGGGCAGAAATGTCGGCTGCCACATCTGGGGAGGCGGCGGCGCCGGCCCGGGTGGCGAGCGCCATGTGGCGGCGGCGCGGCGGCGGCCGGCGGCGGGGTTGCTGGTGGGCGGCGCCCGGGGGCGCGGTGCGGCGCAGAGCCTGAGGATGGCAGCGGGCGGTAGGGGCTCTGCGGGGAAGGGATGACGGCGAGAGGGCGCGGCTCGGGAGCAGCGGAGTGGCGGGTGGGGTGGCGGCGGCTGCAGAGGAAGCAGGGCACCCCGATCGGACGGTGCAGGAACGACGTCGATTGGGCATCACGATATCCCTGGGGCGCGTCCCCGCCCCACCTGGGCGCTCGCTGCTCGGCGGTGGCGGCAGGATTTGCGCAAGCCAGAGCTGGTTTGGCTGCAGCCATTTAGGCCGCGATCCACAGCACCAAGATGTCTGTCCAGGCGGCAGTGGCTGCCGAAATGCCGCGGGGCGGCTCCTGTACTGCCTGTACCGGAACGCAGAGAGCAGCCCAACGAGCTGCTGATCATACCACCATCCGGCCCAAATATCAGGCATACCATCGCCTTGGCCTGGGAACCCCAAAGCCTACAGCCCCATCGCCGCGATCGCCGCGGAATGGCTGCCTGAGGGGGGCGGGCAGGGAGGGATGCTGGACGACTGGAACTCGCAGCTGACGGAGGCGGGGGAGGCAGCGGGCCTGGGCGAACTTGGCGGCGCGTCGGGGGTAGCGGCGGCACCCGCTGCCGACCTCTTTGGCCTGGACCACCAGAGTTGGCCAGGTGCGCGTTCCTTTCTTCCTTCTTTCTTCTCAGCCCGTCCGCCCTGCCACACATGGAAGCGCACGCCGGCGCCCCTGCGCCGAGCAGGGCAGCAAGGCCGGCGGCAGCTGCGTTCGGTCGTCCCCCAGACGACCTGGGGGCCGACACAGCCGTAGGTGTCGCTTCTGCGGCTTGTGTGTGGCAGCGGTCCCAGTGATCCAGCTGCCTGGCCGGGACAGAGTGTAGATCTCATACCACACTGAGGGAGGCACATGGGAGGAGCGGGGCCCAAAATACTGTACAACACGAGCACGTGCATGGTGCACAGGCAGGGGCAGTTGGCTGGAAGGCGGGCAGACACGCAGCCGGCACACCTTCCCGCATGCGCTTGCGCACCTCACACAGCCAGGCTGCGCACCCGAGTCGTCCTGCGCGCCCCAGGCCACGCAGAAGCGCGCCTCCCTGGCAATCGGGTGCCCTGGAGAGTGCTGTGGTTTATCTGTGTTACAGTCACCCCGCTATAATAGGCCGCGTGAGCAGACCTTGGGCAGGGGGCACACGTGATCAAGGGGCATCAAGAGAGGGGGTGGACCATGGAGCACCCTCTCCATGGCTCCGACCACTCTCCCCCCAGCTGAGCGTCCCAGGGTCACCCCACCCTGGCCCCGCTCCCCGTCCTGCCGGACACGCAACCCCCACAACGTGGTGGGGGACGTGGGGATCCTTAGCAGCTTAGGCCTGCCAGGCCGACGGGTGCCGATGCTGGTGCGGGCTCCCGGCGGCAGGCAGCGCCGCCGCCGAGCACTCAAATGGCATGGTGTGGGCAAAGGCGTAGTGGTGCCCGTGCGGCAGCTGCGCCGCCAGCACCGCTGCAGCCCTGGTGGCCCTTGAAGAGCTGGACGACCGCGCTGGCGGCGCGTGATGGCGCTTGGCGGCGCTGTCGGGCGCACATGGCTGCCTGTGTATCCGCTGCCCCGGGGCATCCATGGCCCAGCCCCAGGTTTCGCCATTCCCAGCGTCAGCATGGCTGCCTGGCCCGCATGAGCTTCGGAGCAGGTCGTGCAGACGACGCGTTGAGAAAGAGGCAGGGGTCGGGAGCGAGGCCCTGGGTGGATCCGGAGACGTTGCAGGTAGGAGAAGGGCGAGAGCTCCAACCTTGCCTACCCGAAAGCAATGGATGTCGCTGTGCAGAGCTTCAACTTGGGCGCAGGGTGCGTCGGCCAAGCGGCAGGAGGAATGCCACATGGGCAAAGAGCAGCGCCTGAGGCGTGCCTCGCATCCTATACGGCCAGGGGCTGCAACATTGGGGTTGGCAGGGCAAGCTGGGGCAGCGGTCAAAACGCCCGCCGCGGCATGCTGAGCGATTGCATCGTGCGCTGCAGGCTTTGAGTGCCGATTCCTCTGCAAAGCATCCTCACCGTTGTCAGGTGTCATGAAGCCTTGTTTCTCCGCTCGCGGCCTGGGCGAGGCGCCCCTGCCCCACCACTTCCAGAACAGGCCGCAACCCTCCCGCAAGCCCACGGCCAAGCCTGCGCCTCAGGCTGTCACGGTAGGGCCAGTCACGCGCAAAACAGCCGCCATCGTGTGCTGTTGTCGGGCGACCGACTCACCTTGCTCCGCTCCTGCGCCCTGCCCAACCGCAGGCGGCCCCGGTCGGCCGCCCACCATCTCCCACGGGCGATCCTAGCAGCAGCGGAGGAGGCGGGGGCTCCTTCAGCGGTGGCGGCGCAGGCAGCGGCGGCGGTGGGGGCGGCGGAGATAGCCGCGCGCCTGCGCAGGTGCGACACTACACCTGCACTGTGGGGTGCCTGCCGCCCAGGGGGGTGCAGTGAAGGGTCCAGTTTGCTTGCGGTTGCGCCATGGCGTGCCGCTGTCCTGGTTGTGTGGCGGGCAGGGCCCGCTGACGGGCCAGCTCGTGACAGCGGCCGTGGCACCGCGCCATTCCTTGTTGTGGGCGACCATGCAGTCGCTTGACAGTGCCGTCCGCCTTTGTGTGCTTCCGCTGCTGCAGGTGCTTCCCTTTTGGAAGCATGAGCTGTTCCAGGCCATAGTCGTGGTGGCGGGCCTCGTCTTCGGCTACATTCATGTGTGGCAGCCATCCCACGACCATCGCATCGCCACCTCGGCTTCGCTGGCCTCACTGCAGAAGGGCCAGAGTGTGCTGGAGAAGGGCCTGAGTGTGGTGGAGGCAGATGTGAAGGAGATCAAGGCGGGTCAGAGTGTGCTGGAGATGGGCCAGAGTGTCATGGAGAAGAGCCAGAGTGTGGTGGAGGCAGATCTCAAGGACATCAAGTCGGTGCTGCAGGCCATGCAGCTGTCTCTTGCTGAGCAAAGGGGCGGCAGCAGCAGCAGCAGCCAGGCCGCCATGCTTGACCGCCTGCTGCAGTGCTGTGGTGTCGGCGTCATTGTGTACTTCTGCCGCACCTGCTGAGTTTCTTTTCTGTCCTCACCTGTGAGCATGTGACAAGATCTGTCCGCCAGGCGCACCGCGGGGCGGATCGGGCCAGCCTTCAGAAGCTTGGGGATGAGGCCGCACTTGAAGGAGGAGTGTAGCACTGTGCCTCACTGGGGCGCAGCGCCAGGTCGTGTGCCCGCCGACCCCGCTGTGGTGTGCAACTCAGATGCAGGTGGGCCCGCCCTGCTGCTTGCCTCGCGTGCGGCGGCAGCTGCCGGCACCTGGTCCCAAAGGTGCTGGCTGAGCTGGCAGGCAGCGGCAGCACCGCCCTGCAGCTGCACGCCATGACCGCCCTTTGCGCCTTCTTGCAGCGCCAGCATGCTGCCGGCTGCACCAGGCAGACGGTCTGGGCCCTGCATGGCGCCGTGGCGGCTCTGCCGGGGGCGCTGCACAGCGTGCATGGGCTGATGAGCAGTGGCAGCGGCGGCAGGCTGGAGGAGACTGACATGCAGGTGGGGAGGTGGTGGGGAAGTGTGTGTGTGTGTGTGGGGGGGGGGGGGGCCACA